TATTGTTCCTGCTCGTCCGCCTGGTTCCTTAAGACATCATTACAAGATTGTAATCCATCCAGCAATCAGCTTTTTCGTAGTTGTTTGTTCAGCTTCCAGGTCTTGAATTTTCTGTCATAGATTGTCATTCCGAGATAGAAACCCCACTACCTCTCCTCTCACTGTTTCTACTTCTTGGTTTACGTATTATATTTTCGTACAGATATCTTAACTGATTTTGGACACACCGTGTTCAGAGATGAAGCTAAACATATATTGTAGAGCTCCAGCACATTATCAATATAGTCGTTGGAAACCATTGTATGTAAATTTTGAGTTAAATTGTCCAACTGTTTTCGACGAATTCCATGTTGTGTGTCTCAACTTTTTCCAGGGATCTTCCTCCACCATTAATACTGGCCGCCATCTATAGCCTATCTTGTGCTGAAACATGGCGTTAAACCCCATAAAAACAACAACAACAACATATAGTGTACATTAGTACTTCAGGATAAAAAAAACCCCAGCTGTCTATCTATTAGGTTTTTGTGAAGAAAAACAGAAGTAAACAAAAACACAAAAGATGTCTTTGCATTTTAGGATTAGGGTAAACCCAATATTGCAAACAGGTCGACGAGTGTTGCTGTTTTGCTAGACCAAATTACGTAGCTATTGCGAAACGTATTCTTCACATTTGTACGTGCATTGACTTAATCTTAATCTTGTAAATGGTGAAATGTGTATTTTTAAATGCATCTAATTGACACACATTTTAAAAGTATAAAACACGATATTAAATGCATCAAGGAAATTGTATGCTGCTTGATGAAAATATCGTCAATGATAACACTTTATAAACCGATTTATGATCAGGTAGATTCAACAGGGTCCATCTATAACGATTAGAATTGCCCCTTCTCAAAGAACCCACCCACGTATCATTTGCACATGGTGAATTAACATATAAAATAACCTTTTGATGATCAGCCAAGGCGATGAGAAACGTTGTAATAAGCTGAAAAAAATTCGTACGTTCGAAAATTACAAGTTTTATACTGTCTTCTAAATAAGACGTACTGCATTATCTGCAAATCTGGTATAGTGTTTTCACTGAATGAGGACAGATAGTTTGCGGAGCAACACTAGAAAAAGTATTTAATGCATATTTCTTTATGACTCAGAAATTTTAATTATTTTTTAAACATGTAAATAAAATGTGTGAAGATATTAATCGGAACAAAAATAAACTGAGATACCCTTACAAATGTATTAAGTGAATAATCTGCGTACACATGACACAAATAAACGCACTAAATCTGTCTAAAATGATCAGTATCAGTCACGCGTATTACCTGTGGCCGGCAGACACTGATGAGATGCAAATATGTAAAACGAAATGCGATACGATAAATACATTTTGTTTCTCAATACACTTATATTTAAGAAAAAAAGAAAAAACGAAAACAGAAAAAGATGACATACATGATTAATTAGATAAATCTGAAAAGACAGAAAGCTTTGCACCAAAACTATTAACCTTGAACTGTATACGAAATAACTCCCTTTCAAAATTATTTACACAAAATAGCAACTGTAGTCTGATCACAAATCTGAGGACTAAAACCATATAATGTCGACGTTTCATCACATTATGAGCCATGTAATGTATCATCGAACTGAGAAACTCAGCCATTTATTTTTAGATGTATAGAAATTAATCCTAGGTTAATCGGAGACATCCCTGAGTTTATGGATTTCAGTCGAAACCTACAGCACAAGATTTTATGGCACCGTTGTAAACATAAGAAGCTGACACCACGCTATGGTGGATTGTCTTTCAGTTTGAATTCGCGTTTCATTATATTTTCCAGCGCTCCTACTGATCACTGTTATTCAGCCGAGTCTTATTGTTTATTTAATTCGCGCTTTTTCTTCCCATATCCGCTTAAAAGAAGTGGGCATGCCTTTCTTCATTTGCTCTTTATTCAACATTGCGCCTCGTGTAAACGTTGTTGCTATTAGATTATTTAATAACGGAATTTGTCGAATGTATCATGTCATTACGTTTGGTGCAGTCCAGAAAAATATCGAAATTACGATCGACTTCGTTGACTGAGTAAGGAGGTGGCACCTCTTAATTCTAAACTGAATATTTGAATGTCGTTTATACCAAACGTCTTATTTAAAAACAGTTTATGCCAGATAACGTTTACAGAATCATTTCCTTCCTTCCAAAACTAGAATTGAACAAACAAAATAATATTTATAATAAACGGCGGTCTTGTGGTTTCAAAATATGACGTTAGGGCTAACAAATGTAAAGAAAAGAATAATAAAAAATAAAATACTGATAAGATAATTTATTTTAAATGTCATAGATAATAAAACGGTAACGACAGTTAATACATTAGCCGATTATTACGTCACATAATAAAAGTCGATACGATTAATGAAAAATCGAAAAATCGACCTTGTATGTAAGAAAACAAGAAAGGTTTAACTTACTCGCATTATGTCGAATTGTGCATATTTTATAATTTGAAATTAAAGATTATAGTTCTCTCTCTTTCTACACACACACACACAAACACACACACACACACACACACACACACACACATATATATATATATATATATATATATATATATATATATATATATATATATATATATATATATATATATATGGCGTTTTCACTGCTTCACAACGCAATAATTTAACCACTTTACCTCTAATACAGTGGAGGTATGTGAGAAAGCTTGCCAGTAGCTTTACGTGGGTCGGTGGGTCTTTCCATGGTTTTCCTGGGTTCATCATCCACTATTTATACCGGCCGCCATGTATAGCCTATCTTGTGCTGAAAATGGCGTTAAAAACTACAACAACAACACCCAGTGTAATAAGTGGAGATAACACTATACACTAAAAAATGACAGATTGCGATAGGTCGCTTTTGCGCGTATCTAGCAGGCAAATGCTCTGTGTATATAGTTATAGTTATGCTCTGAGATATAGTTCTTTCTATGTATCATTATGATACATTCTCCGATTGCCTATGTACCTATCACAGATGGAGCCAATTTATCTTCAAAAGAAGATCAGTGACATACAAATAGGTTTCGCTTTCTGTCGGTGAGCTATTCATATTTTTCAAATGCAAAGTTTCATGTAATTACAATTGTGAATATTTAATAGTGATATTTGTCACGAGAGAGAGAGAGAGAGAGAGAGAGAGAGAGAGAGAGAGAGAGAGAGAGAGAGAGAGAGAGAGAGAGAGAGAGAGAGAGAGAGAGATTGTGGCCACTCTCACCTCCAAATTACCTGGCTGAAAACGAGATAGGTCCTACTATAACAGTCATACATAAACGTAAACTTTATAGGGACTTGTTTGACTATACATGTCACACAATTTAAGATAATGACATAAATAATGATGGAAAATTACGTGTATTCGGCAGTTTTGAAAATTCCATGATGTAGGGACATCAGCCGGTTCAAACAAAGCGTAGCAATGCAGTTTAACCTTTTTTGTTCCTAAATATATAGTATTGTCAAAATTTCATTCATGCTTTATACTGGTGAAATAATTGTTTCCTAAAAGATATATTATAATTATACATGATAGTATTAATGTTCTAAACCAGGTATCATACTAGGTCACATTATCAGTTGATAAGGGGCGACTCCTACGGCAGTGTTTACTCCAAGTCCTAACAAATGCCCCATTCTACTGTGACTGTTAGTAGAGTTTGGATACTTAGACTGTCACACATCTTAACACTATCAACAGCACAGCTAAATTGTTAGGAATCGTACACCACATTTGCTAGAAAGTCTGCTGCGTCTCCCACCTTACTGACTATAAAATATGAAGGACACTTGCAATAAAGATATGAACTTTATTCACTATACACTTAGAAATAAATTGGGTATGCTTCAAAGAACTGTAAAAATTTTGCATTTGTGTTGCTTCTTGTGATTTATGGCAAATCAATAATATGAAGGATATAAAGATATGATGTAATACGTTTAAAGTGCCTTGCTAAACGTCAAGCCAAAGGAGCCTTTACTGACTACTGTGATGGGGAGAATCAAACGCGCATCCTTTGAGTCATGCATCAAGCGCTTTAAACACCAAGACAACTCAAAATCTAGAGGTCTAGTTCACCAAATTGCTAAATGCATGCAATGAAAAGCGGTTTTCTATTTTGAAATTTGATCTTAATAAGATCCTTCAAGACCTAAACTAGATGCTAACTGATATTTCCATCAACCATCTAAGAACTGACCCAAACAGAAACCTAAACAAAAATACGTTTTGACCAAATCTGAATAGAACGGCATTATTTTCCCAGGAATTAAAATTAGAAACAAAATAAAACAAACGCAAAACATATCCTCTATAGTAGCGTAAATTTCTAGAGCAAAAAGCGTACATTCCTTAGAATGAGTTTTGTCACGGAATGAAAGATTCCTACATGAACATACATGTCCATATTCATCAAGCTCTTCTATACAAAACCCAATGTACGCACCGATCTCTCTCTCTCTCTCTCTCTCTCTCTCTCTCTCTCTCTCTCTCTCTCTCTCTCTCTGTATTAATGCTTTCTAAAAAAAATGCAGATTTAATTCAAAACAAAATCTTCATTTACTAAAGATTCTAACCTACATAATTACTTTTTGGAACAGCGAACGACTTAAGTGTTAATAGGTTGTACACACCTTGAAGCATTAATGTGTGTGTGTGTGTGTGTGTGTGTGTGTGTGTGTGTGTGTGTGTGATATAGATTTTTCAAGCAACTTTTTAAAATTTTTTTTTCAGTCATATCGCTACGATATCTGCAGTGTGATAGTTTATAGTGATGTCTAGCACTAGGGCATCATGCTGCAGACATGTGGCATGATGTCATACCCAGTCACATTATCCTGACACCAGGCCGACCAGTCCTAACACTAACTTCTTAATGCTGAGCGCCAAGCGAGGCAGCTGTTAGTACCATTTTTAAAAGTCTTTGGCATGACTTGGCCGAGGTTTGAACTCGCGACCTCCCGCATCCGAGGCGGACACTCTGTCCGCTAGGCTACCGGAGCGGTGTCCTATAAGCATGATTGAGAATGATAGTGGTTAAATGGTATGTTTTAAAAGTTGCATATAATGTAAAAATAGTGCTGGTTGATTCCTTAAAACAATATGGCCTTTTCTACTTACACAACCTGACGTTATTTTGACGGTGATGTCCTTTTCTGTTATTGAAAAAGTGGAAAAATATTTTCATTAAGGTAATTGAAAATTACCTCTAAAACGTGACGTACGCTTGAAAACAAGATTTGTCATAAATTTATTTATGTACGTATGGTTTATTATTGTTTTATTTTAAGAAGTTACAAACCATTCTTCGGTACGTCTTGCTGTGCAGAATATATTAAAGTTTTATAAAGAATTTTCAAACATGCTATATCTTACATAAGAATATCACTGCAAGTTATTTGTACAGTGTCACTTTCTTCAATGAAGCGACAGATCATCATCGACATAAGGCGCCTCTGACATCTTCTTTCAGGTCGACTTAATCATGTAATGCATTTGTACGTCCATGAAGAAACTGCTACTCTGAGGGCGCACTTGTTTGGCTACAAATTCCTACCGCCACGGAGACAGAAATGTTATTTTTAAGTTTCTATGTCATTTCAACAAAGTTTGAAAAAATAATACTATTTTATTTTTAGCATCCCGAATTAGAAGATATCCCAGTAACGTCGCCAATTATTTGTGGATTGGGGTGGGTGGGTTGTTTGTCTCACGGAATATTTACAATGACGACATTTCGATGGAAGCCGATCCTAGTGTTTGCAAGGCCGTGCAGCTGTGACGCTACTTATCAGTATCATACTAGACAAGTGAGTTACATCGATAAGTTCATGACATGATCACTGTGTTCTCAATTAAAACAAATATGTTATTTAATGGGATAAAGATGCATAGTTTGTTTATAATTTCTTCAAAGGATACAACGGTGATAAAATAAAATGTAAAGTGGACAAATGTCAATCAAATAAGATTTTCAGGAATATCCAACGATCAAAATGAAATGTTCTTTGTCCAAAAATAAATATACGCTCTGATGGAATCGGTGCTGTATGTAAATCGCAATGAATTGAAAGTGTCTAATAACAATTACGATACCTGCTTAATGCATACTATAAAATATACAATGTGTATTTATAATTTTTTTAATTGTATTTTGAACATCCTTGTTTCCCATAATTGAGATTACGTAAACGCTATTAACACCAGAAAATGACACAATAATTATAAATGTGCCATTATAGCACGGATGCCAAATCAAAAGACCAACACTTACCTAGATGCGAACTGAAACAACCATGTGACGGCCGCATGGATGAAACAAACGAAGGACAAAAGTGACATTATATCTCTATATCACATTGATGGTGGGACAAACACTGTACTCCTACAAAGGTAACCAAGGAAAGTACTTTTTAAACGTTTAATGTATTGAATTAGAATGAAAATATACATATAACAGATTTTTTAATAGAAAACACAACAAACCAAACGTACAAAATTATGCATGGTCAGGGTTAACATTTACTAGTTCCTCCTTATTAGTTTGACTTGACCTATCAAGGTCCGCGTCTGACTGAAACCAGATGCAAACCTTAGTACATATAACGACTATAACATAAAGAAGCAGGCACGATAAGCTTTGTCCTAACAAGAGATATGTGAACCACAGTGGACTTTTATTTTCCATAAGGTATCCCAAATACAATGGATTCAGCATTGAGCCGCTCGAGGCAGCTACCAGAAGTAGGGATGCTATTTTTCCAGAAACTGGCATAACGTTTTCTTCTGTCCAAGTAAATATTGCAGGGAAGATGACGGACATGGATAACCCAGTTGTCGAAGCAAACATCCAGACCATGGGATCGAATAAAAGCAAGCTTCCTACTAAAAATCCAGCAAGGGAAATAAACAAGAGCGAGCAATAAATTAAAAGCACTTTCGTCGGACTCACGACTCGGACAATAAAGATTCCCAGAAATCTACCAAACCCGAAACTTGCCCAAAACATCGAGGTTACAAGAGACCCATTCAGCTTTGTCCAGTTTAAATGAAGAAGAGTGAATGTCATAAGATAGCTGGAAAATGTGTCTTCTATGGCGCTGTATAAGTGGAACACAGACATAAGCAGCATAAGTATAACAATCTTCCGACATATTGTGAGTTGAACTGATATTCTTGGACTGGTTTTTGCTTTGTGCTCTTCGTCCGTGCAGAGTTCTGCTCTTATCCTCAAATATAAGACGAGGAATGGAATTGCAGATAAAATCCCAATTATCATGGTGATGAGATATGCGTATTGTACGTTTGTTTCGCCCCAGTACTGACGTTGAGTGAATTGAATGCTGTTGTTAGTAAAATCAGAGTTGGAAGATAAAACGGAAATGTCTAAGGCACTGGTATGTGAAATATTACATGTTCCGTTAAAGGAAGAGTTAATAGTGTCAAATACAGTTATCTTTGGCGCCAGAAAAGGTTCTGTGAATAATGGCGAAATTATAGCCCCAATAGCGAAAGAAAAGTGCATCATTTGTATATATGGTCGACCTTCAGCGCCCCATATTGAGATGACTTCGGTATTACCACCTGTAAATAAAACAAAGATTCATTGCAAAGACACGTTGGATTAAAATATTTTACAACCTGTCAAGACAAGTAAGAAACAAATCTATTTCAGATTTTTTTAATTACACAAAAATGATTGTATATTTAGCCTGCGATTGTGATTTTTTTTCACTTTTTTATTTTATCTATATGATAGCTTAAGCAGAGCAAGAAGATGCCGTATTACCTACACTGCGGTGTTTCCCGCTATTAAACGTTTCTTCCAAGCTATATTGTATTTCCTATTTTGCGTTACAATTACCAATACAAATCAAATTTATCAAGGACGCTAAAATAGAAGGATGCATGCAGTCCGTGAAATTTTAGAATAAGCTCTATGCTCTACGAATTGATTCGAACTCTTCAAAATAAGCGCCTCAAATATTTAAATAAAGATTCGATATCAAATACATATATAGCTGAAAAAGTCAAGTAGTCGTAAGAAAGTCCAGTTTTTCATCGAAAACGATAAAAATATGTAGCACATGGTTAATCATAGTTTAGACTCATATCTTTGCAATCATTTCACTGAACTTTATATTTTTTGTCTATATAGTCTTGAAAGTCGGACAAGAGTAAGTACGAACGCAACATGAATATACCCATGCAAGAGATATGAAGCATATCAATATATTTAAATTTAATTTCAAGGATAGACAATATAAGCCAAAAATATAAATACCAGTATCTATCCCTCCAAAGAAGACGCCGGAGATGATTCGCACCGCAATCATTAGTGGAAAATTCGAGCACCATGGCGTTGTGCCACTACCAATGGAAGCGCCCAAAATGCTTAAAAACAGAAGCAGCAGTCTGTTGAACCTGTCGTACAACACCCCAAAAATCAATGTACCAGTCAGATAGCCAAAAGCTCCAACGGTTAAAAGCCAGGAAGACGTGGCCAAGTCCTTGTTAACTATCAGAAGAAAGTCAGGAAATGCCGGTCCTGTATGTCCAGCACAAAGGCCCTATAATAATTGTATTATTTACTTGGGAATCCAATAAGGTCCTATAATAGTGGTATTAATTACTGTGGAATCCAATAAGGCCGAATAATAATTTTATTGATTACTGGGGTATTCAATAAGGCCCTATAATAATTGTATTAATTACTGTGGAATTCAATAAAGCCCTATAATAATTGTATTATTTACTGGGGATCCAATAAGGCCCTATAATAATTGCATTAATTACTGGCGAATCCAATAAGGCCAAATAATAATAATTGTATTAATTACTGGGGAATCCAATAAGGCTCTATAATAATTGTATTAATTACTGGGGAATCCAATAAGGCCCAATAATAATTGTATTGATTACTGGGGAATCCAATAAGGCCCTATAATAATTGTATTAATTACTGGGATATCCAATAAGGCTCAATTGTAATTGTATTAATTACTGGGAAATCCAATAAGGCCTAATATTAATTGTATTGGGGAATCCAATAAGGCCCAATATTAATTGTGTTGATTACTCGGGAATTCAATAAGGCCCCATAATAATTGTGTTGTTTACTGGGGAATCAAAAAAGGCCCAATAATAATTTTATTGATTACTAGGGAATCCAATAAGGCCCTATAATAATTGTATTAATTACTGGGGAATTCAGTAAGATAGAAAACTCAATGTACATTTTCACTCAAAGGCTGCAGTCCATCGTATGGACTGTTTGAGTGATATACTGTCTTTATTTATCTCATTCCATGTCAAAAAGTCATGTTGGAATAATACATTATCACATTCCTAATTATATATTATCACATTTTCCAGTTCATTTTGTATGCTGTATACTTTGTGTGTGTGTGTATATATATATATATATATATATATATATATATATATATATATATATATATATATATATATATATATATATATATTTGTGTGCGTGTGTAGATTATCTTATATACCCTCATATAATTTTAGATTATCTTAGATTAGCTTGTACAAGCATAAAACATCAATTTACATTATTCCCAATCTAACATTGAATGCAAGTTTGAGCAATCTCTCTCTCTCTCTCTCTCTCTCTCTCTCTCTCTCTCTCTCTCTCTCTCTCACACACACACACACACACACACACACAAACGCCCCCCCCCACGCCCACACATAAGCAATGCAGAGAAAAAAAATTAAATGATTGAAACGACAGTAAATAAATAAACTTAAAACATACCATACCGATGTACGCAATGCACAGGCAAACTGACACAAAGAATTTAAATCTGTACACTGGGTCCGCCTTAACCATCGTAAAAACGCCGCCTCGATCCATCGTCATTTGTGTGGCAACTTTAATCGGCTTATCTTCGGTTTTGCCCGATCCTCCATGAACAGTACCCAAGAAGGATATTCTTTCCTGGTCATCGACCAATTCCGAATGGCTGGGCCCATGCAT